TATGACTTTTTTTTTCTTTTTCTGCCTTACCATACTATGGCGTTTTTATGACTTTTTAAGCCTACATATACTCCATAAATCCAGATCTTACTTGTTAATAAACCCCCTTGATGGCATTAAAAAGTTAGTCTCTTTGTTTTCGAGGGTTGGCAGTGTTATTGCATCCCTACCAATGTGGAAACCAAACCTACACCCTTGCTGCAGATATACTTTTGAATATAATTTTACATAAAACAAGGATATTGGATTTTGTCCCCCTCATTTTAATGGCCATTATGAAGAGGAGGAATGATTACAGTAAGTCAAAAATAGTTTTGGTGTACATATGAGCTAACTACAACTGTGAACATATTCTTTAAACACATTTATTCCTGACAAAATAAGTTACACTACTTTGCTTTCGCAGATTTTCAGACATGCTCACTGTAACTGCTGTGCAGCCAAGCCTTAGGCTGATTTGTCTGGTCTTTGTTACCCCCTGGAGGTAACTGTCAAGTCATCATTGCAATGTTAAATGCATTTAACAGAATTTAAATGTTGTACATACTCTAAATATGTAACTCTTACCTACAATTTGCTTGTAGTCATTATTTAAAAAAATATTTAGATATGTAAATTCTATGTATCATTATATAATACCTCTGAATGTCCACAAATGATTGAATTGCATAGAATTATCACCCAGGACTATTTCCAGAGTCAAACATTGTCTTTTTTGCTGTCTTATAGAAATCGCTGCAATGAACAAAATTTGTTTGTGTATTAAACTGCAACAACAGAGAACTGGACACCAATAATGAAAATGAAATACTAATTTTCCAATAACAAAGAATGAAGAACAACCACCCAAACAGACACTTGATAGTTTTAAATGTATGATTTTTATTAACTGTATGGTCATGCAAAAATCCAGCATCCAACTGAAACTCAAAGAGTATAGACATATGTAGCCCCTTTAGTGTAAGGTTACAATGCAATAAATTTACTTATAAAGGGGTACATACAAGCTAAGGCTTTGACTAATCTTTTATGCATTTTAATGTGAGATAACATCACTTGATTTCAATATCTCAGAAAGAGCCATTTCATAACCTCAAGGATGCAAGTAACATAGATTTCCATTTCTTTATCAAGTAAACAGTGAAAAATTACCAGAAAGTAGACATGCATATTTCTTCCATTTGTAAAACTGCATATATAGTGTTGCTGTTGAAGATTGTGGTTTTCATGATCCTTTTTCAACATTTGTTTTAAGCGTTTCAAGAATCTTTTTGTCCCCTCACTCCAGTCAGGTAATGTTTTAATCTAACATATTTAGACATTTGCCAAAGTATCTGAACTATGCAGTTCATTTTTCAGTTTTTCAAACAATTGGATGTTTAAAACTAAAATGTATATGAAGCAAAACAACAGAAAGCAAGCTACTTCACCTACTGTGATTTGTAGGTAGTTGGTGCCATCTACCCAAAGTAATTCTGTGTAAAGTTTATATTTGGTCTCGTATCCTATATACAACAGCAAAGCTAAAAGTTGATACCCTGTTATATTAAAACGTAATCTATTATTTTACAATGGATCTCAGTGACACTTCAGCTGAAGCAGGGAGTTCACTCTGTAGTACTTCTATAGAACCAAAGACGGGCCATAACAATTTTAATTTTCAAGCAACTGTGAAATAATTACCAATGAACATTAATGTTGAAATTTAATTCTAACTGAATTTATGTGGTTTGTATTGATGTCTCTGAAATTGTGGTGCAATTTTCATAACTCGATTTAAAGTTACTTTTTTTCCCTCATCTTCAATAATTCAGGATCCAGATAAGATGGACTCACAGCTCGTATATGTGTTTTGATGCAACACGCGCTGTACAGCAGCTGGATCACTCAGACTACAAACTGTGCGAACATATTCTCACTTACTTCTAGTACAGACAGTTCAGATTTTACGTGCAAGTTATACAGTTTTCATTGGAACTACTTCACTGTTGAATTTTTAATGCATCAAAAATTAAATGTGTTTTGCCTCCCTTGTCCAGATGTAGAGGCAGAAATCTCAAAACCCAACAAATAAAACCGAAACTATCTGCATGGCTAGATAGCAAAATAGGGGTTATTGAGAAAATGTTTTTAAGAAACACTATTGCATAAATGTGTTGAAGACGGAGCTGGAGAGAGAAAAGTGAGTTAAGTACTACAAAGAAACAACTTGTCTATCAGCTGAAGTCACTGAGAAGCATGAGAAACAAAAGACTGAATTTATGTTTATAATTTAAATGCAGCAATTATACAACAGTGGTTTCCTGCTACAACATGTCAAAATTTCTGCTGTTTAGCTTCGTGTTAGTCAAACAAAACTGCTGATTTCAACTTGATCCAACTGTTTAAATACTTTGGCAAACTGAGTATGCAGGTGTTTGTTCCCTCAGATCAGTTTCCCTCCTTCTAGATAACCTGTTGAGTGTACCTGCATCTTACTCTTTTATTTAAACATTCCCATGACTGTGTGGTAATACACACTCACAATGAAAGAAAAGCATCTTATCAGATTGGTGGCATCAACAGACAACTGGGCCAGTGCCCACAGCACAAACAGAACTACTAAGAGCCATAAAAAACATCACATAGTTTCAGTACTGGTTTTACAACGCATTGTCATCATGGTGCAAAAAGTGGGGCGGGCACAGTTTTCATGGCATGTCAGATATGTCACAGCACTCAGAAAGAAGCACAGGCGGTTGATACAGTAGGACAGGGCTCACATATGATTCACAACATTGTTAAAAATCTGTTTGACTGTGTCAGTGTACGTACATAGACATGATATGTGATGATTTGAAGCTTCGTTGTGGTTTCTGCTTGTAGGTGACCATCAGCAACAGCCTACCTAGTACATGAGATACTACGGAGCAGCATAGCACAGACGTGACGGACGGCAAGCCTCATCCCTCCGCTGGTACAAAGTCACACACTCACAAAGTTTCTACGACACAGTGAAAAAACAGTGCTGCAAAGTTTAACCACTGACACAGAGATATAGTTTGTCCTCCTCAAAGGAAGAATCATTGATCTCATGTGCTTATATGATGTTGTGAATTTCAATATAATTAGCCACAGAAGAGTATTAAGTGTTTTTGCCCCAAGATTTCAGCATTCGGTGTGCATTGATCAGTGTGTAAGGAAATAATGGGCACAGTTAAAACAACAAAAAAAAGGGTTGTGGCAGTCTGAGCTTCCATTCAGTCCAGCCCCTACTTTTTTATAGTTCTGGCTAAAACAACTGATAAAAATATCAACATCAAAACACTAAACAACTACAACATTTACAACAGAAACTGTGACAAAAGGGACCAAGTCCTTTGATTGCCATCAGCGAAGGTCCCACAACCTTTGAGCCGGCATAGCCTCTTCCCATGATGCCTTGTTTTGTCCAATCCCTCAGCTGCATTCCCTTTTTAACATGCTTTTTATAGTGCCAAGACGGACAATATACAAATTTTAAGAACACAATCAAAACAAGAGACAGGCATAAGGGTGACATCATCATCATCATCACACAGTATGGTGCTACTAAGACAGCAATGGGGCTGGTTAGAGAAGGTCACAAGAGTAACATGTGCAGAGTATAAGAGGCAGGAATGATGGAAGTAAAGGGGCAGAGGTAGGGTGAGAGGGAAGGATTCTGGCGAGCGTAACCTGAAGTTGCAGAAAGGTTCACTCCCTCAGAAGAGCGAACACAACAGCATCGAGTCTTAAGTGTCTGTGCAGAAACAGTACAGGCCATTAGATAGTTCAAATAAATCATGCTTCACATCAAAAATACATTAAACCAGATGAAATAAAAGTGAAAAGTTGATGTGAGGGTGTGTCCGTGCTTTCACAATAGGTAGTTCAGAGACGTGAGGAGCTTTAGACTTTGACCGATGGCGCCTCCTAATGTTCTACTCCAAACACTGCAGGGTAGACAGATGGATGCCTTCTGCAACTTCAGGATGAGCTGGCCTGGATGTTGTGTCTAAAGCTCAAGAGAGGCTCAACCCCAAAGGCTGGAGCACAGGGACCTTGAGTGTGCATGTGTGTTTGTGTGTATGCATGTGCATGCATGGTATGTGTTTGTATTTACACCTCGGGACCTCAAAGCAGAAAAAAAAACACCCACACTCTCATGCTTAATTCCCCTCCCTATACCCTGAAAGTACATCATGTTTCCCCTTTTTTTCCCCCAATATAAATATCTATTTATACACAACTCTATTAAATAAAATCCCGCTTTTGATTAAAAATTATTCTTTTTCAACACAAAATACTTTAAAATACATCATCAAGGAGATAAAAATCAATCAGCTTAATAACACATAATACAAAAAGACAAAATAAAAATAAAGGTCCCTTCAGTAACATATCACATGGTCTAAACCCCTTTGAAACATTGTGTACAGGTGCTCAAACCTGACACTTAAAATGGGTGTTAAATTCTGATATTAAGTAGATATTACTTGCTCCCATTCACCCCACCTACACATACCTATTAACTGTAAAACAAACAATACTTCTATTAAAGTAGACATTCTGCTGCTCTCTTTTTCTTGTTTTCCACATATTATACCACCCAACCCCAACTCGCTGTGTATGTGAAGTCTACTTGTTTTTCTGTTGTTGTATGTATGTATGTATATATCTCTCTTTACTTTTTTTTAAAAACATGTTAATACTTTTCCAGACAGGAGACAAAACAAAGATGGGGAAATAAAGGCCATGGGAGAAAAGGACCAGGACAGCACCACCCCTGTGTTGCCACCAGAAGCATGCACCACCTGCAAGAAGGGGCTGACATCGGCCGGGCCCCAACATCATCTAGCTAGGGTTGGACTGGATTGGTGTTGGTCGGTCATTCAGTCAAGCTTTTGATATATGCTTTTTTTTTGTTTGTTTTTTTTTTTTGCTTTGTTTTTTTTATTGTAATTTAATTTCCCCTCTTTTGTGTTTTTACAGCTTTCCAAGCAGCCTCTTCCCGTCCAGGATCCAGGTACCAATCCGTCCACGGAGAATAAATGCTCCAAAGAGCTTTAGAGTTCAGGCAAAGCTGGAGAAGGAAGAATAGATTGGTTAGTGTGTAGACTGTAAAGAGGGCGAGTTCACCCAAATGAAAAACTTATATCCTAACTTAGACTTGATGGTACGCAGCATTGCAGATAATTTTGAATTTGTCCAGGATTTGACAACGAAGACTGTGTAAATTGCTGGTTTCAGCCTGACGAGTGTCCCCTGTTCATGAAGAGGTGGGTTTTTGATCATTAGTATAGTCAGTGCCCCCAATCTGCAATACAAGGCTGCTCTGCTATTGGAAATCAGCAGACTAAAACATAACAAGGATATTTAACACACAGACATAAAGCAAATAAGCATGTGTTGCAAAATGTTGAACTCTTCCTTTACATAACGGTAAATGAATCAGTGTGTTTGTCTTTTACGAGCTTTTCTTAAATCCTTCCATTTCCCTTCAAACTGGATTTCAAATGATGTTCAGAAAATTAATCTGAAGTGAAGCATAAAATCATGATCTACTGTAGCATGTTTGTGGAAAATTTGTCTTTTTGTTACAGATTGCCGATATTCCCTGTTTCACCTCCAGTGAACTTGAGAGATGTCTGTTGTCTCAGTTTTAAGGCCGACACTCACTCTTCAGGAAAAGCCCTGGAGCAGGGACGAACCCAGCAGGGAGGACGGGGAAATAACAATAAAGCTTGTTGCTTCAAGGCTACAAGCTGTGTGTTATGATTTTAAAAAATATTACACAATAAAAACCTTCAGAAGAGCCAAGTGACCTGTGCAGAGGTTTTTTAAAGTCAGCCATAATCCTTGCATGCAGCATAAAACTGTTATTGCACCCTCCAGTCTCTCATCATGGTGACATGTTTTCACCTTACCTGGGCCTGAGTTGTCGGTTCACTGCAGGGGTGCAGCCGGTGCTCCTGAGCAGTGGAAGTGCACATTGAGCCATTTGGCGTCGCGGCGATGCCACACGCGCGTCTCCTCTGACTGGCAGGAGCGCGGCCGGCCCTGGCTGTCGATGTACTGCGTCAGGCGGATGTAGGCGATGCAGGCAGCGTCCTCACCAATCAGATGGACGTGGGGGTTGAGTATGGTGGTGTGCACTGGCTTACTGTTTTTACTCAGCACTGTGGGGATGGAAATGTGCAAGTCAGCAGTTTGTAAATGGAAATGTCAATTGTCAATGTGCAGCTAAGTAACCTGATTTGAGAGCATTTAGCATGTTTTAGCTGCCATAGGCAACATGAGTTGGCTGCTTCAAATGGCAGGAGGAGCTAATGTGAATAAAATCACATTATAGATGTCCCCATTATCATTTTACACATTTTCCGAAAATCCAGCATGACATTAGGTAAGTTTGGAAAAACTTGAATCTCTACTTGAACCAAGTTCTGTATTAAACTTCAAATTACATATGTGTAGAGGTGGACAGAGATTAACATCTATACCAAAAACTTCTAAAGGGATGAAATGATTAGTTGATTAATCAAGATTAAACAGATTTGATAGTAATTTTTCGTTTTCCTAATTCACTGACCAGAGCTTCTCAAAAGTGATTATTTGATTGGAAAGAAACACTGAGCATAAACAGGAACTGTTGTGTAAGAAAAGTCAACAAAGCACAGAACCTTTCATTTGTGCAAAACTGCAGTACCATCCTCAGGTGTCACTGGATGCTCCGTTCAACCATTTCATCATTTAGTTTGGCATTAATCTGGATTTCCCCCTATAATTTGTCTTAATGAGGATTTTACATGTTTCTTTATATTTTATTATTACACAACACTGACTGATCAAAGTGTCTCTATCAATTGAGAACTAAATTGACTACGAGACTGAAACTGCACTTACGATTCTCAAAGTAGAACTTGTGAAAGTCCATCCCCTCCACCAGGTTTCCAAGAGCTTCTGGCTCAAAAGAAGTCAGTCCAGGGTCACAGATTCTCCTGTCAGAAGAAAACACAACCATAAATAAACATTTGCTTTATCTGTTACTGATTCTGAATTTACCCTGCAAGTGAAGAGCCTGTGAAGAATAATGAAGGCTAAATGATGCAGGACAGATGACATGGCATTTGAAGCTCTGAGATAATGGAACATTTTCAAGTAATGTGTGTATTTAACAAGAATTAAAGATTGTCATTGTGTTAGAGGTGAGAAAATGTTTTCAACAAGACAGAAAACTGAACACGGAGAAGTGTGTTTGAGTTGCATATTCAAACTTACGTGTAAGCCTCAAAATCCCCATTGTTGATAGCTTCAATCAACTGCTCTGTCATCTTTATTATCTCCTGTTTACGAGCTGGAAACAGTGAGATCGAAAGATAAGAGAGGGGAGGAGGGGGAAGACAACCAGAAGAGGTTAAAGACAGTCAGAAATCATCTGAATTTTGAACATTCAAGTACCGCTCCAGATGCTTTCACCGACTCTCACTGCCTTACAAGCTCGAAAACCTCTGACATTTGAAATAGGCTCATCACATGGGTGGCACCTCTGGTAATAATGACAGTGACATTTGAAGTCAGCCTGTACAAAACACACCACACCACACACTCTGCTCTCCATGTGACATCCAGTGAGTCCTTGAATGTCTCAAACTAAGAGCTTTCACTGCACACACACAAACCCACACCAATAAAATCCACCATTAGAGAAATCCAGTTTTTTAAATTTATATATATACACCACCAAATTACACCGGAAATTATGAGAGTGAGGCACAAAAGTCAAGAAAATGGGTGTACACTACACCAGAAAAGCACAAACTGCAAACACAACAGGGTTTATTTCCAGATAATATGCTGTAAAATACTTTTTTTCACTAACATGCAGCTACTGAAGCCTGGAAAGCCTTCACACCTGCATGTAACTTTTCACAGAGCCTTAAAAAGAAGCCAGTGTGATTCCCTAAGTCCTCAGACCGTCTGCCATCAAGTGGCACACAAAAACCGTATAAACACTGCTTCAGGAGCTTTTGCACAAGCACTCCCCCAACCTGCCTGGCACTTACTCTGCTGCAGGTTGCCGCTGCTGCCTGTGAGAGGTGACAGAGCCGACTCTGGTTCAGGACAAGAGCTCTGAGCTGGACTGGTCTGAGCTACAGGAACTCTGGGGCTGCTAGGAGCCTCCTGCAGGGGACCAGCTGCAGGCCGGTACAGTCATCCCAGTGAAATAAAGTTATGTTTAGCAAAGCTCAGAAGCCATGTATACAACTATTTACATGGCATTTAACATTATTTATCCTGCAAACAGTATATCAAGCAGTCATTATAGGAAATTAGAATCAAGACACTCAGTGTTAGATGACCTCCAGAGAGTACAGAAGAGGAGCAGTAATATGCAACCAGGCCTGGACGCCAGTAGATGGCAGCATAGGAGAGCAGAGGGGAACTAGTGCAGTCAGTTGGTGGGAAGAGTGGAAGTGAAGAGGTCAAAATTATTGCTGAAGGTCTGGTGTTGGGTATAGAAGGAAAGGTCAGAGCTGAGAGTTAAACCAGGTAAAATACTGCCAACTTACAGATGGGTGCTGGGCAATGAGGAGACACGGTTGGGGTCCCTTCCTCAGTAGTGCTGCACTGGCTTAACACTGCACTGTCTGTACTAGTAGACTCACTGACAGCCACTGCCCCCATCACAAGACAAACACACAATTACAAACAGATGTACATGGGCAGAGAGCCTGAGATATGTTTATCTATAATATTTGGAATAATTAATCGTTTTAAAGCCAAAAAAATATGAAAAATCAAATGTCCATCACAAGTTCCCAGAGCCCAAGGTGATATCTTCAAATTGCTTGTTTTGTCTGACCAAAATCTAAAGCTATTTGATTTTCATTCACATAAAAACAAAAGCGGCAAATCATCATATCTGACAAGCTGGAACCAGTGAATACTTGATATATTTGCTTCATAAAACTTGTAGGTGCTGCCGCTATGTGACACTCTGGTCACTTGCTTCTCTGTAACTCTACACGCCAACCCTGTGCTTCATCTTAGAAACCCTGATGCTACACATGGAGGAGCTGAGGCATCCTATCAGTGAGAGTTTGTATTTGAAAGAAAAAGAGAGAAGTTACATTAAATTCATTTAACTTTCATCCAGAGCAACGTCAGCTAAGTGCATTCAGCCTCAGAAAGACAGAAGAGAGAACAGGAACAACAGCCCCTCGATTGCATGTCAGTGATGATCCACTATAAGACTGAGTGCTGGTAAACCCAGGGAAAGCTGCTCAAGTAACTGGATTAACTCTTTTCTGGAAAGCTGAAGGTAGCTCTGTCCTACTTCATTCAACTGAAAACAGTGAAGTGTCACCACCCGAGCTGCAGACGACTAATTAAAGGCTTAAGTGGTGTGTGATGCTGGCATACACGCCAACGCACACCAACAATCAAAATGAGGCTGAGGTATCCACATAAGGTTGGCAATGGTGAGTGTTAGATGTGTCATACTCAAGAGATCCTGTATTTGAGCCTTTGCAGATCATCACATTCTGCTGAGTTTCTCCCACAGATCCTTGAGGCTCTGGAGCAACTGAACAGGATGGGAAAACTAACACTACACCACCATGTTGTTACTTTGTACAGAGACAACAGAAAGCAGCACTGTATTTTCCCCCATAGATGCACAATGTTTATGTAAAACTGTTTATGTCACATTTGTCTTCCCTGTGATGCTCGCAGGCATCTGTGGTCTAACTAGTAAACTTACTGGACTTAACAGTTGACAGTTACCTGAAACCTCTACCCAGTAAACATGCATTACCTCATGTATAAAGTGAAGAAATTCAGTATGAGCTCTATGATAATATTTTTTCTATCTGATCTGCAGATACAAAGTGAACAAAAAGAGGCATGCGGAGTAGGTGAAAGTTTGACAAGTACCTTTCCTACCTTTCATGTCCTCCTCTTCTGTGTTATTACAGCTCTCTGTGGAGCCCTGTCAAACAGAGAGGGATGAGACAAAAAAAAGGAGAGATGGATAGAGGAGCAGGTGGAACGAGAGAACGATAGATAAAGGGAGAAAAGAGAAATAGCAAATCACTTTTTTTAAATTGTGTAAGTGAGATGGGATTGGGAAGCTTAGGCCATATGGACACATAGACAACCTGACAGACAGATGGACGGGTGGACAACTCCCTCCCAGGAGCACAAACCAGCCAGGACAGCAGCGAGGGGAAGCGCAGAGAGCCACACACATCAAAGCAATAAAGTGTGTGAGCAATTTGAAATCCTGTTGCTAATTTAAACAGGAAGTATGCAAGTGCAGGTCAGCGTGTAACTGCTCCTCAAGAGTAAGCAAGCCGGTGTGGCAAAGTATTTGTCAGAGAAGTGTCAATGTAAAGAAAATTGTGTAACAGCATGAGCATTTCATAGTGATGCAAATCGAGTGGTTGCTGGTTCTCTTTTAGTAAAAAGCCTTACATGAGTATTTGAAGATATAGTGCCTGTGCTGCTGTTAAAGACAGTGTAGGATTTTCTCTTTTATATAAATCTGAAATCAACTTTGATGCTGTGTGAATCCTGAAGGGAACCACTGGAATAATTAGATACTTTGACTGTTTAATCAACATCAATTCAGAGTTTCTAGGTTTCTCGCGACCTTGGTTCAGTCTTAGAGATCTTAGATTCAGTCTTAATTTAGTTAAAGGTTGCGTTCCTTGATCCATGTGGATATGTCTTAGGTACAAGCTGAGAACCATGGTGAGAGCATATGGTTATCTGGAGGGAACAATAGGTATAGTTGGCCGTCATCTGCGTAGCAGTGATATGAGAAGCCTTGCAAATGGATAATTGGACCAAACAAGGTGGTGTATATTGCAAAGGGAAGGGGCCCCAGTACTGAACCTTGGGACACCCCTGTGGGGAGGGGATGTGATAAGGATGTTTGTCCTTGCCATGACACATTTAAGGAGCACCCCGTGAGATAGGATTCAAAGCAAGAAAGCGCTTTTCCCAAATACAGATAGCAGGATGCACTGGTTCACCATGTCAAAGGCTGCTGATTGGTCCAGCAAGATAAGAGGACTGGGCTGCGGCTCTAGCTTCCCTTAGGGCTTCTGTCACAGACAACAGAGCTGTTTCAGTGGAGTGGCCACTCGTACAAGCTGCAAAACTTTTAAGCAACAGGGTTGAAATTAGCTCAAAGTTTGTAATGTAAAAAGGTATTTTCACAACTCTTGCATTCAAGCATTAATTCATCATTTAAAGACAGAATAAGGAAATACAATCATTAACTGGCAAAGTTATTTTTTCGAATAATTTGTAATTTATTAATTGAAGACAATAATAATAATAATACAATGAAAGTCTATATTTATTCCAGTGGTTACATTATGGTGCACCTTCACAGTGATTTAAATGTCAGCAACCCTCAACATAAGCAGGCGCTGTAGTGATCTGCTTCCAGAATTGAGATTTGGAGTTCACAGGATTCGACTCTCTCTGTGAAATCATCTCTAGTATTCAGGAGGCAAGATAATGACACATGCTGACAGAAGCCAGCTTACATTAGGTGCACAAGTATAAACAGTTAAATTTTTTTTTTTCCAAGACAGTGATGTATGAAGTATATCTAGAGAAAATCCCGCACGAGTTACCTGCACGTGTTAGTAGTGGCTGGTGGCTAGTGGTGGCAGAAGGAGCAGCTTACCTTGGTGCCATCAGCTGGGTTGTGTACAACAGTTGTCTGGGCTTCCTGGGGGGAGGTAGGAGACACTTTACCATGCAGGGATGGGACGGGTGGAGGGGGGGAGGGCACCAGGGAAGATGCCAGGAAATATCAACATATTCCATGACCACAAACATAGACACGTGTGCGCACACCAAAACAAAGCACAGGAGCCACAAGAGGCTGTGGAGCATTTATGGCGATTAAATAGATGACTGTAGATGTCAAGGCACTCAGTGTGAGTCTGTTCCCCATTCAGCACTGTGGTCTAAAGAATCATTTTTGAGTCTTCAAAACTGCACGAAAACAGCCATGAACACAGCTAAACGAATATTCACCAGCCCAGGGCCAGGACTGAGGAGGAGGAGTCACTGGAGGTTTATGGAAGTGTGAGTGTTGGTGCTGATGGCATTTTCATGTCACCTGGAAGTTATCGTATTTACCAGGTACAACATATAACTTTACTTCACTTCAATAACGGAGTTACAACTGAGAAGCTCTGATATATAAAATTTGGCATTAAATAATTTCGGAATTAGATTTCAATCTTTCCATCCTCCATGGTGTAAACGCTGCATTAAGCGACATGGCGACTGTGTGTTTGTATAGCCACTCCTCATCCTCAACCTTGACCCTGCCACAGAAGCATTCAGCACAACGCAATTCAAGAGCTCCAAGTACAACACTGTCTGGAAAACCAACCCACACTATAGTGGATTAGTCAGTCACACACTCAGGCTCCTGATCCCAATCAACACTGGACCCAACATCCAGAAACTACAAACTTAGAACATGCAGCCCCGTCGATGACACACTGGATTATGGTTAATTAAAGTATTTTTGGGGTATTTTCAGCCTTGATTACAGACAGTGGAGACACGACAGGACGTTGTTGTTCATGGACTTAACCCCTGAGCTACAGGCTGCCTGACTTTGGGAAATTTAGACTGGAAAATTTTACCCAGTCTGAGGAAATGTTTTACTTAGCTCAATGCCTGGCTCTCAATTTGGCAAGTTTGGTGTGTAGCTCATAAGCTTTTGCTGGAGTGCAGAATTCAGCACTGGCATGATGTAGAAAGTAATCGGTGCCATGTAGAAGTTCTTGCATAGAGTTAGATGAGAAGATTGATACCACTATCATGTCTGCACAGTATATTTGTAGCTACTGACAGTGGCCAGTTAGCTTAGTTTAACACAAAGACTGAAGGGGGTGGGGGGGTGG